TCGTAAATTCGGCTTCAGAAAGCCAGCTAAGTAAAAAGAAAACAGTTGTTAGTACGATTCATGCTGAAAACAAAATGAAAAAAAAAAAAACTGAAAGGACGCACTCTCTAGGGCTAACAATGGGCTGCTTAATTTCAACCCAATCCGTTCTTCTCTGCAATGCCATGTTGCAACAGTACTTTCTTTCGCCACAAGCTCCACAACCAGAGAATCCGCAACCAACGATTGTTTATTACCATTCCCACCAGAACCCATTCCGGGAAGTGATATACTAGTTACACCCAACGCCTGAACCGAAGCTGCGGCTGCCGCCATTCCCAAACCCTGCTCACGAACAAGATGTTGATCCAAAGAGAGTCGACGAAGAGAAAGAACCCCATCTGCCGGATCGAAAAGTAATACGTCTTGAAGAAACTGTTGCTGTTTGATTGTGTAAGTTTTTGATGAGATGGGATTGTTGGCGACGAAGTTGTTTTAGAATTGGGGATGAGTTGTTGAGGAAGAAGTCGGGGGGATTGTGAAATATTGAGAGGAGAAATGAATGTGAAGACTAGCGGGGCGTTAGGATGGTCTGGCGCTGAGCTCTGTCTAACACCGCGTAGTCTGATTAAAGGTGATAGTTCGGTTAATGGATGGTTCTTAACGACGATAGTAAGCAACGCTTTCAAGAGAAGGAGAAAGTAAACGTACTATATAACATCGATATTCCTAACCCTTCCCTCCAAATGGCTCGCAATATCTGCTTTGCCGCCATAAGGATTAACAGGAAATACATGAACCGTGCGTTTCCTCGTCCCAATCGCCAACCACCGTCCATCCTTCGACCAATCAGCACCCTCCACAACAGCTGACGTCCGTCCTCGACGCAGTGTATATACCTGCATCGAATTCAAAGCTTGCTGATGAAGATGGCCACTCCATCGTTTCCTCTTCTCCGTCTTGTTATTATCTCCTCGATCCATCCTCGATCCACCGAATACTGCAGAGGAAAGGACAACAGAAGCAGTAGGACAGATCTTGAATGTCTTCACCACATATCCGTCTCTTTGAATAACGGCTAGGCTCATCCCATCCGCTGAGAAATGGAGATCTGCGATAGGCTGGCTACGAGAAGACATGAACTCGTCAACCTTGACTTGCGGACGGACGTTGATGACAGAGGATGGATTCGGCGTAGCTTCAGTGCTCTTTTCCCCAGAAACACCAGCTGAAATCATCAACGGGGAAAGATCAACTACGGTGATATAATATCCATAACTTGCAGATATTGACGATTTCGTGGAAGGTGCGACAGTAGTGACATGATAACCGGAAACGGAAGAAGTGTTTGAAAGCCTCCTTTCTCTCAATTTTTGAGCCACAACTTCATCACTCCCATCATCAACGACAGGAGCAGTATCGGGAGCACTCCTCGATACGAACCTCCCTCCTAGTCCTCCTGATACCAAACCCTCTCTGCCACGACTGGCTCTGCCAACATCTCCACCACCGCCAACCTTACTCCTCGCAGCCCCATACGCCATCCCACCCAAAACTGTCTCTCCAACCTTCAACGCCGCCTGTCCCAAATCAGCCTGCGTCATATTCGTCACCATTCCAAGATTCATCCCAATAGATCCCGATCCCAACCCTAAACCAAACGGAGTAGGAAAAGAGGATAAGCTGGAATTAGGATTAGAAGGAGTTGAAGATGATGTTGAGAGTCGATGTTTTGATTTGATGGATGATGGAACATGGAGAGGGGAAAAAGAAGGTGATGGTGAGGCGTATGCGAGAAGACGATGAGAGAGTGCGAAAACGGGGTGAGGATTATCGGGGTGGTATTGTCGTCGATGGTGATTGCCAGAATTATCATGAGAGACGTCGTCGATAGATAATCGGGCTAGGGGTAAAGGCTCGCTTGAAATAATTGGAGATTGGGGTGGTGATGGTTGGGATGGATGATGACCTAAACCTAAAGTTGCGGAAGGAGCAGCGGTAGTAGTTGTGCTATGATGAGGTAAGGGTGAAAATGGTTCAAGCGACGTTGATGGAACAATATGCAGAGTCTGGAATGTCATTGATGAAAGAACGAGTAAAGCGGGTGGTGAAGTCATGCTCTAGAAATTCAATTTAGTTCTACACAGGTAAGACGAACAGGATGACTTACGACGATGATGAAATAATCATTCGCGTTGAAGGTCAAAGTGGATCCAGGTAAAGTAAGTCGTTTCAGCAGTTGATGTTTTCGCAGCGAGTACAAGACGAACGACGAGTCCCATTCCCCATCTTCGATATAGTCCGTTTGCATCCTTGAGGAATCAAGAGTTTAATACCAACAAAAAGGGGTAGAATAAGATAAGACCCACAGAATACCAAGCAGAGGTCGGTCCTCCTCGAATGGATCTTTCATGTCTGGACCCGACGCAGGCAACAAAGCAGCGTGGATGACATTGACCACCATTCCTTCTTCTTGCTTTCTCGTAGAACCTCTTTTCCCATTACCCAATATCATGCTCCATTCTGCAGAATCAAAATTGAGGTTCAAAATTTCCGAAATCGCGCTCAAGTCCGAGCAATCCCAGATTTGAAGACCAACTGGGTAAGCGAGGATGAGGAAACGTCTGTACGTTAAAGAACATAGTCAGCAGATGTTCTTTTTAGGAGCGTCAGACAACTAGTAATTCAGTCACACTTGTCAGAACCTGAATTATGCCTGTCACCGCCCATTTTGCGTGCCTTAGGTATAGTAGTCGGATGTTTGGCAGACCCGATACGGTGACCCGTGGCAGGCTTACGACAACCGTCACCACAAACGCAAACGTAGTCTGTAGACCATGAATGGTCAGCGCTGAGGGGAGCATTGGATGGAATCCAAGAAACGGAAGTCGAGTTGGATGCGATCTGAACGCTGCCAAAAAACCAGTGCGCCTCATTTTCCTTACTTTCTTGTTATCGCTAACGGTTTTCCAGAGAATCAGTTTCTCTGTGATCACCAAAGATGAACTTGGGAAGCTTGGCATAATCAGGAAGCGCCTCGTCTTTTCTTTACAGAAAGTCACTGAATTAGCCTCGACACTGTCGCCGAAGGCAGAAGTTGGAGTTCCACAACTGCGTGCCCGAATCTCTTGGAGATCTATGAGCATGTGAACCTGCATGTACGCCTTACAGTTTCTCCTGTCTCACCGCTTAGATTTGTTTGCAGTTTGAACTTGGTTCACGCATGGTTCTCGACACTATACTACTGTCGTTGGTAAGGATAGCCCTCAGATGTACGGTCGAGGACGGAGGTTGCCATTTTTCCAGAAATGAGGATACCTCCGACCCACAAACCGTTTTTGACACCGAATTATGTATCGCCGTTCCGCTTCCTTTCCTTCTCAACAAGAACCTTCAGATAATTACTGACAAGGACTGCCACTCTCCCTACTGTATAGTCTAACCCCCTCCCTGGCGAAACGAAGGGAACTGTCATTCTCGATGTCGATAAATTATCTCAAACCGGAAAAAGAGCTGGCCTGATTCCCAAACTGGAGGTGCCAAACGAAACTCCTCTGTGAGCTCTTCCTATCGCCAAAACCAAAGCTTGAACCATACCTTTGCCCCCAGCCATCCATTGTCCAGCGGCAACAATAGACTAACATCTTCGTTGTTCTGGACCTCTCGCTATCATGTCATCTCTGCCTCCAGCCATCCATCTTTAAGTAGCAACAAGGCCTCAATCTGGCCGTGCTCCTGGTTCATCTAGCCATCAGCACTCACAGGGACATGGAGCCGACTTGATTATCACCCACTGGGACAATGACGCACCTAACTCTCCACTGCCTCGCAAACAAGGAGCATGTGGCCGCGTAGCCAAGAGAAGAAAAAGGTCGTAAAGGTGTTGCCTTCGTTTCTTGTTATGTGGCGTTCACTAACGCCCTGTTTTCACAGAGACTTGCCCTCTGAGAGTTCCTCTCTCCCCGCTTCGCTGGATCTCTCAACTTTGACTCGGAACTATTTGCTTCTGGCTCGCTTGGACGCTCTGGACTTTGACTACTTCGTGGTATTAGATTTGTACATTAAATTCATATGCTTTCATGAAATTTATACATTGAATATGTTCAGAAATTCCTTAAAGAATCCATCTCCTGGCGTTGCATATATTCATAGCCGGCCAGGTATGACCTTGTTAGCCATGTATGCTCTAATCGTCATACTTGAGCCCTAGATCCATCCTTGTTCATGCCTTGTGAGTCACCGTTAGATCTTACATGCACTGTTTCATGACTATGTATGACTATGTATGAGAGGGTATTTTTTATGATGTCGCATTGTCCAGCTCCGGGTCTGCGATTATCCTAGACGCTTTAGATACACTTCGATATGATTAACCCTAAAAATATCGGTACGAGTCAGAATCATCAGAAATAAAGAAAGTACGCTTACACGGGACAGGCTCGAACAGGCTCGAACTCGAAAATTTAAAGTTGAGCTGCGACTGAGAATCGACAATCCCGCCTACGTAATGGACTTTGAAGCTTGAAGCATCGTAATGTCAGTTATGATTCATTTGTACGATGTAATTGACTCATCAGCTACTAACTGAACTCGAGCAGTGCGGGCAATTCTGGGTGCGAGGACAACCTTCAGTTCTCTACTTTGCGCCTAATATCCAAGTGCTTAGATAGATAATACTTGGAATTAAAGAGAGGGCTCATTCTGCTAGTTTTCGCCTGATGAGATAGACATAGACTCCGATGCGGGAGAGGGGTCATCCACCTTGTGACCATGAGATAGGTTTTCAACGGTGCATGACCTTTCATACTTTCTGAAGCATCAAAGACGACAATACGGTAGTTGTCCTGCATTTTATTCACATTAGACATGGTCGAAGGCTCGAAGCTACCAAAGCATCGGGATAACAGTTAGGTGAAACGCCAGTGAACACGCATCGCTAATCTATCACGAGAGCTCTTTCTGCGATGGAAGATGGTAAGGCAGCCTGCTTCATATCAGACAAAGTAGGGTTGTATTACACAGAAAATTGACGTGCTTTGCTGGCGAGTGCAACGCTATGTTTATCCAAAAATCTCCCCGTATCTGCGTATGAGAAGGGTGCTTTGAAGGTGTATTGTGTACTTGGCTTCGAGCCATCTGCAATCGTTTAGAGCCTCGCCAGGCCTGCGAAGTACTAGTGAATTTTATTACCTTCTTCATAAATCCCGTAGTCTTCTGGAAAAAATATTCTCTTGGGATTCTCGAGACAGGCCAAGACCGTCTCGTTGGACGGCATATGTGAGTACGCCAGAAGGTCGTTCGGGAATAGGGTGAATGATTCCAGTGAGAAATTGGGATCCTGGGTCTGGACGACGGTGGTTATCCAGCGATGTGCTGTCAGTGTTGAAGAGATGCTGGTAGGTGAGTACGCTCTTTCTGAGCAGATTTCTTCGACAAAACGTGTGCAGGAGTGTACATGATCGAGTGTACAATGATCTTGAGCTTGATCTTTGATGGTTTGGTCCGAGGCTGTTGTTTGTCTATATTTACTACATCTTTTACCAAGTAGGCGCCATCATCATTCCCCCCAATGTTAGAGTTCTACGACTCCTCCCCTTGGTCCCTACATATACAACAGACGCGCCTAAAACCAGCTTGCGCTCTCTCCAAGTCACGCATCAAATGTTTGGTGTGGGGCACCGATGCGCTTGCGTACGTCCATTTCATCCCTACCGGCCTCTTTGCTCTCCATCTAGTCGTCGCAGATCAGGACGTTCAACAAGCTTCCACAGAAATCATAGAATATCTGCCATATAAAACTTGCACGTCCATTCCAGATTCCTATTTCGAACCCATTTTTTTCAATCCAAATCGGCCGACGCAATTCCCGCACTCAGTTCACCTCGAGCCGACAAGTCCCCATGACAAACGCAACATTGACGATCCAGAGATGATTATCATCCATCCTCAGTCCCAATTGTATCTCGACGTTCACGACAAGAGCCGCTCAGTGTCCCTTCCTCCGTTTCCGGGCACCATTCGATTCCCAACGAGAACTGCATTCATTGACTCGATGATTGAGACCTATTTGGACCCTCCTACTGGTCAAGTACATACAAAGATGAAGGAGATGATGTCAGGGTGGATGTCATATTTTCTTCTATACACTCTGCGGAATCATCCACGAGTACTCCCAAATGGCGATCTCGAACCAGAACATGCGGAAGTGTTACAGAGTCTTCGGCCAGAAAATCAGCCGTACTTTGAGTTCTTCACACACGGTGGAACTTTTGGCTCAGACAGGGTTGTGCATGTAATGCGCCGTAAGGATGTACTGGAGAAACTTGGGTGCGCTCTCTAGTATTTCTCCTTTTTTTCTTGATGGCCAATCCACCTCATTACATTAGAAAGTATGAAGAAGCACGACGTCCGCTTCCCCTACCTGTCCCTGGGAATCCTGAATTTTGGTTGGTCTTATTTAAGTTCTCAAGGTACCACTGAGCTGACTTGAAATATACCAGGGCTCAACGCCGTGCCAATCGTCAAGTCGCAAGCCAAAAGTAATTTAACCATTGTTACAATTTGACTGCCTAGTAATCGTTGATTCTGTTACACAGGCGCTCGTACTCGGTATCGGCCTCTAGGGGGACAAGGTCCACCATCAAGAAAATCATTCGGCTCATACTGTGACCGAGTTGCTGCGGCCTTCGATTATGTTTCCAAGAAGGTCGACAAAATGGTAGTTCCAGTAGGAGAAGTTGCCCTCTGAGATGTAATTTCTACCGTATATTCATTCAGTTTCGTCCTGAGCAAGAGCCTCAGTGAAAATCCGGTGTTCCAACTCCACCTCTTCGAATTTTATCCTTACGCCTGGATCCTTCAGACCAATCTTCAACTCCTTGTCCAACCCATCGGAAGCGCGACACTCGCTTGATGATTATTTTGTCTTGTGCCAAGGTTGCCGAGATCATCAGGAACATTTCAAGTTGAAGCTACTAAAGCTTCGGTGTGTGGCTGCTGAAGTAATTAAAGGTCAAGAACGTGGAAACAGAGTATAATTACTCACGAGTAGGAGATTTTATGATGATATCAGGGTGGTCATCCGTTGGTTGGTCTGAAAAGACGGACGACAACTTCAGCCATGGCGATTCTTGACTTCGTGAGCAGATGATTGGGTAGAACTAGATTATATAATTGTGTATACTACTGAGGGTTTAATACACTGCTCAACAATATCCTAATTAGTACGTACGGCTCGCGTACTTCGGCCTTCAGGTTCTCCCTAATTCAGGCATTCTCCTATATTCTACTTACTTCCTTCCCATCCAGTACCTTCTACCGAGTGCCGGAAAGTTGCACCTTAACAGCGACAGGCTACAGCTGTCCTCCATCATCAAGATCGAACTTTTCCAGATTGCGCTCGAGATTCTCCTCAAATTGGATAGAAACCTTCCAGGGGACGAGCGTTCTATTGGCATCGGCATCTTGGAACAAGTGCCCCATCTGGTCCTGTGGAACTCGCCCAGACTCACCTGGCCTTTGGCTCAGGGGTTTATGTGCTGACCTCAATACGTCCTTGATGGCTTTATTTTTATTGAGAACGGTGTCAGGCTGACTTATATAACACTGCTGGTAGGTACCATACGATCACACGCCTTGCCCTACTTATGCCGACCACTGATTCACTGATGGTCACATGACCATTGGTTGTCCTAATTATATAGAAATTAAAGAGTTTACAGAATAACTAACAACCTGGAAACGCTTTGAGGTCGTCGCCGCATCTGAAGTTGGCTGATGGGAAAATGATCGGAAACAGCCGATCGTGTTGCAAAGGTCAATGATAACATTGTCAATAACGTTCAACCACTGGCACGTGCATGAAACGCGGTTTTCTCAACTCCGCCAAGGCAAAGAGCCTCTGTACCCGAGTTCTAAAGACACCGATGGCGGCACGGCATCAGCGGCTGTGGCTCCTGTCACCAACTCGGCGACTGCAAAACGTTCAAGTAATCAGATTGTCAGATCTGTCTTTGTTTTCGGCTATCTGACACGTAAGTTCTAGTTGTGAAATTGGATTATAGAAAACTCGAGGATCCAGGTATATCCCAATAATACGGCACTCCCAATCGCCTCATGTCTTCATTTGCTCAAAGCCCTTCCCAAAAGCTACACACCCAAAAAGTTAGAATTCAAAGAGGTTCCTCTTCACGACTATCCCAGCGTGGCGCACTGACAAGCCCGATGACCCGGATGGCCATAGCGAGTGGATGGTCAGGGCACCCACGAAGCGCAAGGTGCTCACTGCTCCAGGATACTCAAAAACCCACACCGAAGCCTCGCATGCCAAACTTTTGCACTGTCAAGGAAACTCCCAACATGGGTTTGGGCCTCTTTGCCACTGCTGATATTGGACCCGATGAGCTCCTCTTTTCGGAACGTCCGCTTATTGTGTATCCCATGGCTATGCCCTCGACATTGAGTGAATCGAATCAATATTTGCAGCTCGATTTTATGAAGATTTCCTTGCATGAGCAGGAGCAGAACCTCGAGTGTGCGGTTAGTAGGATGAGTGATGATGATCAAAAGGCATACAGGAATTTGTGGAACAATCATACAGAGGATGGAAGTGGACCTTTGCTGGGAATTGCGCGCACGAATGGATATGTCATAGATCTTCATGATGGGCTTGTCGAGACCACAACAAACTCTTACTGTGCGGTTGGAAAGCTCGCCTCTCGAATTAATCACAGGTTGGTGGGAGTGATCCTTTGAATATTCATTAACATACCCCTTTTGTTTCTTAGTTGCCTGCCGAATGTGTACCAACAATTCGAAATCCCATCATTCTCCATCCAATACAAAGCCCGGCGCTACATCAAAGCCGGCGAGCAGATTTTATACAGCTACTGCAGGCTGGACCAGACCCTCGCGGAGCGCCGCCTCGAGCTCGCACCCTATGGCATGGTATGCACCTGCTCTGTTTGTGTGAACGCCATGCCCGAGACGGACAAGCTCCGCAAGGAGTACGCGCACGGGTTTGCGGCGATTCGTGACTTGTTGAACAGAAATACTAGTAACATTAAGATGGTTGATCGGTTTGTGGAAGAGATTATCAAGTTGCAGCAGGCAATGTTGAAGGAGGGGCTGGATATTGTGGATGGATATGTGGATTTGATGGACTTGCTTGAGAGCGCGTATTCGAGGGTCGGGACGAAGCTCAACGTGACAGAGATTCATGGCATACCGGTGACAGTCACTGCCATTCACCGTCCATGCTAAATTGATATACGGCATTTGTCTTCCACCGACGATGCAATGTATGAGCTCAAAGAATCCGAAGGATAATTCCGCGCCCATTTATTTTGCTCAAGAACTGCTCTCATTTTTTGTCATGGATTTTCCAAGATGGTCCTGCCGTTTCATGCATAACGACTCGACCAGGTGAATACGTCGTTTTCATTAGCAGGATCACTGTTGTTGCCGTAAACGACTTGTCAAAAAATCGCTGTTGTTGTCACCGATTTAAAAATTTTACTTCATCCCACCGCACATTCACAAATTTGTAATTATCACCTCTTACACCTATTTACAAATTTTTAGTTCGTCCCCTCTCATACCTATTTACAAATTTGTAGATCATCACTGTAATACCTATCTACAAATTTGTAGATCGTAGTTTGTTCTTATTGCCAACATTCACAAATTTGTAGTTCGTCACTGTAATACCCATTTACAAATTTGTAGTTCATTCTTTCTGCGCACATTCACAAATTTGTGGTTCGTCACCGTAATACCCCTATTTACAAATTTGTAGATCGTCGCTCTTAAACCTATTTACAAATTTGTAGTTCATTATTCCTGTGCACATTCACAAATTTGTGGTTCGTCACTGTAATAATTTACAAATTTGTAGATCGTCACTGTAATACCTACATCAGTAAATTCGGGGTCCGCTTACCGGCACCGGACAGCACTGGGCAGCGCCATAGTGCCATAGTAAAGGGTCCTTTATTTACAGCGCTGTCAAGCATCACGGTCACGCTATGGAATGATATATATTTACTATACAGTACTATATATTACTATACAGTGCTATATAGGGTAGGGTTAATATTACTATTATTACAATATACTTTGGTCAATCTGAGGCTAGAAAGCTATGTTCACGCGAGGATAAGGAAATTTAATATGTATAAATCATATTCAACTATCTACACAGAGTCTGAGTCATATGTACTACTCTATAACTATCAATAGTAGGTTCATAATCTGCTGTTGTGTGTCGAAAGCAGGCAGAGGTGGTTGGAGTGTTGAAACAGCCTGAAATGAGCCCCTCACATCCCATTTGGATGGGGAGGAGGGGCTGGGTAGTTGAGGTTGTTGAAACTGTAGCTAAAAGTAGAAAATTGTTAGTTTTAAAAAAAGCAGTAAGAAATTCGAAGAACTCACCTCAGCCGCCAGTGCTCAGCGCTCGTCGTTGCTTCATACCTCCTGGGGCTAAGAAGCAGGTATACGATGTGTTGTT